AACACTCATCATGACACTGAGTGTATGTGTGTGTGTGTGTGTGTGTGAATCATCATCTCTCCTCTAGCTATAAGAACATCCCTGTCCTAACGTGCCCTTTTCTAAAGTCACTGTGGCTGTGCTAAAGAGAACACACACAAAAAATGGGTTTTAAATGTTTAAAAAATTGACATTGTGAATGTTCAGAACATTCAGAAATAACGTTTTCATAACATAATGGGAATGTTAGTACAATTTACCGTTTCAAGACTAAACATACATTTTTTTAAGTTGAAACAACATTGTTTATTTATTTATTAACAATGTATTTTTGTTTGCTGGCATATTGCTTTTTTAGTAATTCGACACATTACTAACTAGTATAGTATTATTTAGTCTACTAACTTTCATAAAACTTAGACTGTGCATTAAGAAAAAAATACTTAAATTAGACATTATATGCCACACGCAAAGAAATAACTGGCTTGAAAATCAGACAACTGGGGTTCTGTTCCTTCTTCGCTTCGACATCTATTGTATTTGCATACAGAAAATGAAGCTTTTTTGCATTGTGGATCATTTTCAGTCATGAGAATGATATTTATTTTGCACTGCTGTAATGAGGATGATATTTATGCAAAGTATAATTTTCATATGCTAAAGAAAATGTCTGTTTTGGGGTGAAATATGAGCTGGATATTTCTATGGGAGATTTACAATTGTTGTTTTTTTTAAAGGTCCTGCAGCTGGCAAACTTAATTTGATGACATACTAAACTAAAACACATAACACGATTTACCCCAAGTCCTACATGTTCCTGGATCAACTTTGTTTATTTGTCCTGGAATATCTTTCCTAGCAAACAATCATAGGCCAAACCATGTCCCTAAGGTTAAACCTAATCCTAACCCACCCTTACAATCAATGGGAATGATTGCACTAAACCTAACTATAAGCTTTAAACAAATGTTGTTTGAGCTCGGCAAGAAAATTGATCCAGGAACATGGGCTACTCAGGTAAATCATGTTAAGGAGATTAATTCAGAAGTATGTAAGAAGAGGATCGCTTAAGGCACAGACGTCCTTCAAACAACAACACACAGCTGTTTTGGGTTATTTACCAGAAATGTTAAGTGTTAATCAAGCCCAATTAAAGACTAAATTCAGGTTGGTCTGTGAGGTAGGCCTACATGACAGAAAGCTTAATATATAACAGGTCACATGATTATATCTCTGTTATACTCTCATACACAGCGATCAGAGTCTTGACTTGATTCACTTAGGCTGTTTTATGTGTTAAGCATCACAAGGATAATTAGTTGTGGTGTGAACACGTACATGTGATATGAAAGAAAAAGCCCAAATGTGTCTCTTGTTGCTCAGATTTTGAAGAGCCAAGCCAATGTTATTTTAGTATTATTTTTAAACTATTAATAGTATTTATTCATATTTTATTTACACACACACACACACACATATATATATATATATTCTTTTTTTATTTTATTTAAAAAATATATATATTTATATAAATTATATTTTTTTATTTGTATGCGTTTTCATTTTCATATATGTTTTAGTGATTTTGTTATGTGCTTTTGCCATCTTTGTATATATTCATTTTTATTTACATTTTTAGTCATTTTAGTTTTAGTAATTTTGATACTTCAGCTTCAAATTATTTATTTCAGGTAAGCTTTAAGTTTTTCATTTAATATTTAGTTATATTTTTTGATATAATTATATTATATAAATTAGACTTTTAATATGTTTTCATTTTAGTTTTAGTTTACATTTTAGTAATTTTGTTATGTATTTTACGTTTTTTGTTTTTATTTATGTTACGTTTTTGTTATATTATGTTTTTTTGTGTTTATTTATTATTATTTTTTATTTATTATAAAAAATTATTAAATTATTAAAATTTTTATTTCTATATATACGTTTTTTTTATTTTGGTTTTAGTTTTAGTAATTGTGGTACTTCAAAATCCACTTATTTATTTTAGTTTTCCAAAGCAACATATCTTAGATTTTTTTAAGTTGAAGTTTTTCATTTAATGTAATATGTAGAATTTGTATTTATAATTATATTTATATTCAATATATAAATTTGATTTTTATATATGTACACGTTTTTATTTTAGGTTTGATTAACATTTTAGTATTTTTTGTTTGTTTGTTTGTTTTTGTCATCTTAGTTCTTTTTTATTTCTTCTAGAAATATTTAATTTGGTTTTAGTTTTAGTAATTTTGGTAATTTTTTATTTTACATTAATTTCCATAGCAACTTGTCTTAAGTTTTTTTTTTTAAGTTTAAGTTTTTCATCAAATTATTTTATTTTATTTTTCAATTACCGAAAACTATTTTTAATAGCTTTTTTTTTTTCGTTTTAATTTTCGTTTTCGTTTTAAATAAATTTTAGTAGAATCATCTGACAATGTTCAGACTTGAATGGATAACTCAGGTTTACTGAGCTATGAAAGAGCAGTATCTCATCTAGGGTCAGCTAAAATATGCATAACACATTTAGACCTGCCAGTAATTTAACCTTTAGCCCGACTAATGGCACGTCTGGTCAGGAAAGTGTAACGCTGTGCTAAAATATCCTGTATTTGCATTCACTCACAGCATGCTGTTAGCTAAACAGCGATCTGTTATCTTCAGATGTTTTCCCCTGCACAGGAATCATGCTTTTAACTGGCACAGGCATTTGGCACTGAAAGTCAGACTTCATGAATAAAAACCGTAACCTAATTTGATGTTGGAACGGGATCCAAGGGGATCTATGGTGGTTCGGGTTTACAGACACATATGTGATGAGGTGTTGCATAATGCACAGACCTGAAGTGAGTGAGGAAACCAAACCAGAGCAGCAAATCTGTCACGTTTTTGTAGGCAGCATTGTGCAGGGGTGCTATTATTCGATTGCACAACTCAACACAGTTATTGCTGCCCAGCATCTACGCCCAACACTTCATGTTCCTCTGTTTGTTTAGGGTGCTGAGGGATACTTTTCCAGAAAGAAGAACGACAAACTATTTTCAAGCTTTGTTTCAAAACCTCAACCAAACCCAAAAGGTTGCAAAATCCTGGCAAAAACCATGAGTATAAACAAACACAGTGAAGCTCAACTTAATCTGTGGGAGGTATGGTGCATTATTGCGTTAAGTACTGGCAAGGTTTTTAAAAGTGAAGTGTGAAGTGTTTGTTTGAAAGGCCTGACTGGTTTAGCCATAACATCATTGGCTTAACCAGTGTTGTGGGACTATTTGTTTGTCCAAACTTGGTTGAAATCATTATTTTTGCAATTATGTTTAGTAGTGTAGTAGTGAAGCAGAAATTACATACCACAGGACTTTTAATGGCTAAATAGCTATATAAATAGCTAAATACTGTAGCTAATTTGGGTAGATAATATGCTTCCAACCCTTGTGGTGTCCACAGACAAGTTTAGAGAAAATTGTGTATTATTATTATTAATAATATCAATAATACATTCATTCAAGTTTAATTTAATGCCATTAAATTGAATTGAATTTATTTATTTGACAGATTTTGACAATTATTTTTGCATTCTGCTTTCTAAGGACTGTTTTTAGAGATAAGATTAGAGAGAAATTGTGTATAATATAATATAATATAATATAATATATAATTAAAGTATAATTAAATATATAATTCAATGCAGTTTCATTTTATTTATTGTACAGATTTTGACAAATATTTTTGCATTGGAAAGAAGTTTTGTAATATAATATAATATAATATAATACATGTTTAAAGTTCAATTTAATGCAGTTGAATTTCATTTATTTTACAGATTTTGACAATTTTTGAATGACGTTTTGAGAAAAATTGGGCAATTATTATTATTATTATTATTATTAATAATGCATGTTTAAAGTTTAATGTCATTCAGTTTAATTTAATTGATTTATTTTACAGATTTTGACAATTATTTTTGCATTCTGCTTTCTATAAACTGTTTTTAGAGACAATAAAAATTGTGTAATAATATAATATAATATAATATAATATAATA